TCAGTTGGTTAAGCGACTGCCTTCGGCTCAGGTCATGATCCTGGAGTCCCGGGATCGAGTCCCACATCGGGCTCCCTGCTCAGCGGGGAGTCTGCTTCTCCCTCTGACCCTCTTCCCTCTCGTGCTCTCTATCTCTCATTCTCTCTCTCTCAAATAAATAAATAAAATCTTTAAAAAAAAAAACATATAGTGTGGTGGTTTTGGTATATTCACAAGGTTGTGCAACTGTCACCTGTTTCTTTCTTCTTTTTTTTTTATGATTTTATTTTTGTTTCACAGAGAGAGAGGGAACACAAGCAGGCGGAGTGGGAGAGGGAGAAGCAGGCTTCCTGCTGAGCAGGGAGCCTGATGCAGGGCTCGATCCCAGGACCCTGGGATCATGACCTGAGCCGAAGGCAGCTGCTTAACCAACTGAGCCACCCAGGGGTCCCTAAAATAAGTAAACTTTTTAAAATGTTTTTTATTTATTTATTCATGAGAGTCAGAGAGAGAGAGAGAGAGAGAGCGGCAGAGGCAGAGGGAGAAGCAGGCTCCCCGCAGAGCAGGGAGCCCAATGCAGGACTCCATCCCAGGACCCTGGGATCATGATCTGAGCCGAAGGCAGACGCTTAACCATCTGAGCCACCCAGGAGCCTCTTAAGTAAATAAATTTTTAAAAAATAAAGTAAAAAATTAAAAGTCTTAGAAAATCTATAGTTTAATTTTTGACCTGTTTCTCCCGAAATTTGTTTTATTCTTGCCATGATGATTCAGCCAGTCACTAAAACCTGTGACTCAAGAGTCTCCCCCATAAGTAATCTCTTAGTGTTTGCCTAGCGCACGCACCTCAAAGCTGCTCTGGAACCCTGCAGCTGGAAGCAGGGCTGACTTACTCTTGCAGACTCCCCGCCCCCAGCCACGGCTGAAGCTCTGGGCCCAGCTGATTGGTCTCGGGCTGGGTATACCACCCAAGCCATGTCTCCCTGAGATTCTTCCCTGTGTAAGAGACTGACTCCCTCTCTGGAGACACAGCTGTAAAATAGGAGGAATGGGAGCTGCCAGTTGCCCCACCCCCCTCCCTCTTGGAGAAAACGGCTCTGGAGCATGAAACTGACCCTTGGGAACATTCAGACCCCTGCTTCCAGCTCATTCCCGTGGTTAAAGCGAGCCTGTCCATAGGTTCACCTTTTTTGCGTAAGTTACTGAAAGCCTGATCTCTATCATTTGCAAACAAAACTCCTGAGCAATACGCTCCCTGAAATCAGTGAGTCAAAACTCCACCAAAACTGCCTCCCCGAACCTTCTGCTCCCAACAGTCTTCTCCCCAGACTCCAGGCCTCTTGACTCCACCCTATCCCAGCTAGGGGCTCAGTCACAGGGACCTAACAAGTATGGCCCTGCACCTTCCCTGCTTAAAATACAAACTGGCCTCCCAGTCCCCTGGGATAAAGCCCTCACCGTCCGCCAATACAGACCTCCATCTGCCCATCCCCTCCCTCCAGCTGCACAACTCAGCCACCCTCTCCTGGGCCATTCCTGCAACTAGACATTGATTGCCCAGCTTTGGCACATGCTGTTTCTCTGCTCCGGGTACTTTTCCTTGCTCTGTCCGCTTGTAAAACATCTACTTCTCCATTCTCCACCTCAAACACCATCTCCTTTGGAAAAGCCACCGTTCTCCTAAGCACGCTCACTCCCTACTTCCAACCCTGTACCTTACCTTCACAATAACTGTAGTGGAGACGGCCGGCGCCCCACCCACGTCCCCTCGCCCTGACCAGCCCAGGGCCCACCGGCCTGACTTCCAACCACCAGCACGTGCATTTCTTGGCCTGACTGCTTCTCCTACTTTGCCCACCCACGGGGCAGACTTGAAAGTTTTTGGGGATTCAATGCCCGAACACGCCAACCAATGACTGATAAAGGTTGCTGTTTGAAGACCCTGGCGGCCTCACCCCAGGTGTGGACAACCGAGGTGTGTGTTCTGTACGGGCTCCGAGGGGTGTCGACTGGTTTGGTAACTTACCTTTTCCTGGTGCCTTCCCTTCCCTGTCTCACTTTCCTTCACCTCTCCAATAAACTACTAGCGGTTAAATTCTTTCTCGGGGTCAGCTTCTAAGGCGATACAAACACCCAGCATTTTCACAGTATTTACTATATTCCAGACGCGATTCCAAACACGCATTCCACCTTCAGAACACCCCCACAAAAATAACCCAAAATTTAGATAAGGGGACACCGAGGCATTACATGGGTAAGAAACTTGCCCAAGGCCTCAGAGCCAGTAAATATATGTAACATTTTTCACATTCTCTTGTAACCATCTCTTCTCCACTAGACCAAGAACCTCTTGAGGGAGGTTCCTTTTTATCTTAACCTTTCTCAATGTCCTCAGCATCAAGCAGAGCCAGGTATACAAGCACATGCTTGAGACATGAAGGTTTTTTAAAGAGCCTGCACTCTGCTCCCCAAACACGTTGCGTGTTTTTCTTGCCTCTGTGCCTTTACTCAAACAGGAGTCCTGAAACACCTCTCCTCAGATCCGTCTTGCCCTGGTCCCACACACCCTCACGCCAGCCACACACACAGAGAACAGCATCCTGACTACTGCTCTGGCAGCCAAGATGAGGGATTCTGGGGGGTGAGCGGACGCGAGACCACACACCCAATTACTCATACACGAATTAGTGCACCTTTGCCAGGCTGTTTTGTATTTTAACACAAAACATCTGTCGTCTTCCCTGCAACCTTTACTAATACTCAAGTCTCCCCTATCCTAAATGTCTTCGCTCAACCCTGTTTTTTCCCCAGGGCCACCACACTTCTTATAACCCAAGTGCTACAACCCCTGCCTTCCATGTGATTGTCAACGCCCGCATCTTCCGCGGCCATCTTTAGCTGGATCTTTTGGGGTTACATGTCTATATGCTAAGGAAGAGCTTCCCGGAAGCAGCATCTGGGCTAAGCCTTGAACTCTGAGTAGGCTTCCAAAGGTGGGGCTCAGACCACCTCTGTCCTGACTCCTGACCTCAAAGTGCACCCTAATCATCTTTACACTTCCTGCTCACACTCGCTTCCCAATCTGTACGCGCCCTCTCTCTGAGGGCGCCAGTCACCCCCACTCTACCAAAATGAGTCATCTTTACGTTTTCTAATCTTTCTTCTTGCAGGCCACAACTCCAACCGAAACCAGGCCAACGCTTTCCTACCACCTCTCTCGCTGCCAGCCCCACCCCGCCCCAAGCACTGACCACACCGTCCTCTGCCCAGAAACCCTCTAGGGTTGACTCCTGCCTGAAGAATAAAAGCTAACCTCCACATCACCGCATTCAAAGCAGTCTTGGGTCTGCTCACTAATCCCCACCTCCAGACCCTCAAAACCCATCCCAACACATGACGCGACTCAATCCAATTCCAGTGGGCACAGGTCCTTCCCATCTCAGGAGCTTTGCTCAGGCTACTCCCTCAGCCTGTGATGCTTTCCCCCACCTCGTACCCGAAAGGCTCCTCAAACTTCAAGGACCCAGTGAAGACACCACCTCGGCCGCCTTAGCTGATTTGCAGACATACACCCCGACAGTGGGGCTGACCGATAGGAACTAAGCACCCCTTCTCAATATTCCCAAAGTAAAATTCAATTTTTACTTCACATTTTAACATCAATGTATCTATCAGTCAATATTTTTTTTTTTTTAAGTGGCAAGTGGCAAACCCAACTGAAAAGAGTGTCAATAAAAGGGAATTCGTGACCTCCTGTAACCAAGAAGCAGTGCTGGCTTCGGGCATCACTGGCACAGGGGGGTCCAGGATTCGGTGACCCTCAGGCCTGCCCCCCTTTCTCTCCTAGCTCTCCTCTCTGGCCTCTTCTTAAGCAGCCCCTCTCCACATCGCAGCAAACAGAGGTTCATAATCTAACAGAAAGAGATACTCTTTCCCCCAGCATCCATCCGAGCAAATCTAAGAAAGACAGCTTGGCTCTCCTAGAGTCCCATGTCCACCAAGGAAGACATTTTGGCCAACAGAAGATATTGATGAAAGACCAGAAGACAGGATGAGAAGAGAAGCCAGGGTGCTTCTCCCCCTGCCCTGAGCCTTTTGTTCTGGTTCAGAGAGCGTCCCTGGCAGCAGCTGCTTCCTCTCCAGACCTCCCTTCCTCTGCAGACCCCACACTTGGGGAGCTGCCCTGCCATGGTTCTAGTTCCCACAGAAGCTCCTGGATGTTAACATCACCTCGTCCCGTTGACCCTCCGGCCCTGAGGGTAACAGCAGTTCCTCGCTGTCACCACTCTCTTAATCTTGCCATCTCCTGCTTGACTTCTCACGTCTTCCGTTGCCTATGTAACCAGCTCCCTGCATCACAGCCTTTCAGTATGAAATACCTACAGAGGTTTTTCACCCTGACGGCACCACAACTGCTACAGACACAGACAAAGAACAGGCAGAAGTGTGAGGGACGATATGGAGAGTAAAACCCCTAGGAATAACCACCATCACCACCTCACATTTGCTGTCACAAAGCCTGTAGGTAGGCAGAGCTGGGATTCAGACAGCCAGCCAGGCGGTGGAGTGCCAAGGAGAAAGTGTTTCCAGAAGGAGGGAACTCAACAGCATCAAGTGCTAGGTGGAAGAAGAAGTCAGGATAGACGAGGATGGTGAAGGGGCTACTGGATTGTGCAAGAAGGAAGTCACGAGTAAAGTCAGAAACCAGACAGCAGTGGGCTGAGGAGTTAGCAAGTAAGACAAGCAGGGCAGCCATTCCTTCAAAACGTTTGGCTGTGAAGAGGAGTCAGTCACAATATGGATCATGAGATGGGGAAGAAGAAAGCCTCACAGCAGAGTTTTCTTTACCTCTGGTTTGTTTTACAAGCGAGGGGGACCTGAGCATGTTTAAATATTGATGGAATGAGCCAGGCGAGACGGAGTGTGAAGACTCAGGAATGAATGAGGGTGATGAACAGAGCAAGGTCTCTGACAGGCCAGACAGGGCGGCCTAGAATCTCTTCCATGGCAACCGGGGGCAACCAAGAAATGATGGCTACGGATTCAGATCATTTCGTAGTCTGGAAAAAGGAAGTTCTTTTATGGTGGCTTCTGTCTTATCAGCAGAACTGGAGGGCGGAGTAGAGGGGCGGAAGGTGTGAGGAACAGAGAGAAGCTTCCGATCAGCCATGGCGCACAACGGGAGCGTATGTGGAAAGAGAGGAGCGCCCAGCACCACTGAGGCCCCAGCTGGGGTTGGTACCCATGAACCGACCCTGGCAGCGATTCTCAAGGTGTGTTCGCACCCTAGGTGTAGGCAAAAGACCCGAACCCATGGAATGATCCAGGCTGGGTGTAAAGAAGGAGAGCAAGGGAATGGAGGACAGGAAGTGGCAGGAGGAGCTGATGAGATGAGCCACGCAGTGTGAAGGAGGGAGGTGAACAGGTGCAGTCGGTACTTGCTGGCTGGGAGGAGGGGAAGGCAAGAGAAGATGCTATCTCAAGGCATTATCTCAAAGCCCAACTATTCTGGGTATTAGAATGCAAGGGTGTGGCCGGGGGAGGGCAGCTGGACTGAAAAAGAGGTCAAGGTGTGTGGAGATAAAGTTAAGAAGCCGATAGCTTTGAAGGTCTGAACAGAGTCCCTTGAGGGGAGGGCATGCCTGGAGAAGACCATGAATTGATGTCTAGAGATTTTTTTCCCCAAAGATGTTATTTATTTATTTGACAGAGAGAGGGGGTGGGGGGGAGGGAGAAGCAGGCTCCCCGCTGAGCAGGGAGCCCGATGTGGGGCTCGATCCCAGGACCCCGGGATCATGACCTGAGCCGAAGGCAGACGCATAACCGACTGAGCCACCCAGGCGCCCCGAGGGCTAGAGGTTTTAATGAATGAGAGGCAGGGGAGGTAGAAATGACAGGGAACGAAAAGGCCGCGGCCGTCCTGTAAGACGGACTTTTGTTTCCGCTGGTCTCCCATTCATTCCTGCCTCCTTCTATGAGCAGCCTCCTGAATCTGCTTTGGAAACCACCTCCATCCTCCCCAGCCACTCAGGGAGCTTCTAAGATACTAACAATATTCTCTTAAACTGCGGGGTAGGAGGAACATGAGTATTTATTGTTCTTTAAACTGCAAAGATACATTTTATTCTTTAAACATTTTATATACTTTATATGTACATTTCACAATTCAAACACACAGACCTACAAAAATTTCCTTTCTTCACGCTCCAAAGATAAGGACCTGGTACAGGTCTGGGAAATCAGAGTCAACAAAGCTTGGTTTCGGTGCCTGACCCAATTTAGGCTCATGAGACACCAGCCCAGGGCTTTGGCTGGAGCTATCAGGAAAGAGACTCTTTCTGCTGAAATTGTGAGGCTTATTTGTAGAACATATCCCTTGGCTAGCTTGAGGATAAAACTAACACCAAAGAAAGCAGAGCCAAGAGATGGAGGGTGACAGATTTCCGATATCATTTGAATACCTAGTTCCAGCCACTCCTGAAGCCGAATTACCTGGGGCTTTTCAAAAACATTAAGCCAGTAGATTTTTTTTTTCTTCGCCAGTTTGCATTTAGTTTATGTCCTTTTAACTAAAAGGAAACGAATTTCAGCACAATAGGCAAATCAAGGGTTCTCAATTCAACAGCCTGTGTGACCCTTTCCAACACACAAGTCAAATCACACCCTCCTTCTGTTCAAGACTGTGCAGAGGCACTCAAAGCAAAGGCCAACATTCTCAGGGTGGCCTATGAGGCCCTACACCATCTGGACCCTCTCCTCTCTGCTGTCGGCCACCAACTCTCCATTGTCCACTCTGCCCCAGTCATAAAGGCCTCCGGGCTATTCCATAACACACCGGGCAGATGCCTGCAAGCCTCCGCTTTGGCTGTTCCTTCCACCTGGACCCTCCTCCAGACCTCCACTCGCTAACTCCCTCCCTCACCTGCTCCACGTTTCTACTCAAATCTCCAGTTCTCAGGAAGGTCTATCCAAATCCTCCTCCCACAGCCAGTGATCCTGAGCCCCCTCCCCAACCTACTTCTTCTCCCTTCCATAGCATTTATTACAGAACACAGGACGTACTCAGTGAGAAGTACCCAATGAGGGCAGGGGTCTTCAACCGGCTGACTCATCTCAAGTTCCTGGAAGAGTGCCTGTCTCGTGATAGGCCCTCAAATATGTGACTGAACCCATACAATGACCTGGGCCTCCAGAGAGAAGAGCTTGGTTTATAAAGGGCAGTGGGGAGAAAGGACCCCCCCCATTTCCTGATCCTGATATAAGTGGAATAAACAAGGAAAAGACACCTTTGGAAGAAGCAGCCACCAAAGAGGGCAGGAAGTAGGCGGAAGAGTTCAGTGAAGAGGCTGCGGATGTGGGAAGGGGTGTTAACCACAGTTGGGGCCTGAGTGGGCTTGGTGTCTGAGTGTTGGGAGGCGCACAGAAGTTGGAGACTGAGTCAGGGGAGAAGCAGCCCAGAGTGGTTTGCAGATGAAAGTAAAAAAAGAGTCAGGCCAAGTGGTTTATTTACCTTCTAGGTGGAGATGATGAAGTGACAGAAGGCCTGGTGAGTTCATCGGGCATGAAAAGAATTAGTCCTAGCAACCCTTGGAAGACAGGAAGGATTATCCCATAACTCCAAGGTTTGAATGATTTTAGAAGTTAGTGGATGAAAAAGCCATCATATTTGATTGTTTCCTTCTCCAGCAAGCATGCCAGACGCCACTCAGAAGTGTGTGCTGGACCGAGACACGAGGCTTCCCCGTTCTTGGCAACATCCTGGGCCCGCAGAAAGCAATTCCCCTCTGCGTAATACAACAACCCTGTGTCATGAGCAGCCTGTCCAACCCGCATTCTCCAAGCTCAGAACTGACTCTGAACCAGGCATCCAGGGTCACAACTCCATTGTCCAAAAAGGCGAGAAAACCGGTTTCTTTTCAAAGACAGATCACAGCACTCGGCTTTCCTACCTGTCCTCCAACGACCCCCGTGCTGCATGGGCAAGAGAAAGAGGCTTCCTTCCACTGGTCCTGACTCACCTTGGTTGAATGCTAGTCTCTCTCTACAGAAATTTCTCCACAGTCGCTACAACACACGTGCATGCCAAGATTCAAGGAAAATGTTACTTCCAGTTAGAGAAAGAAATTACATTATTTAACCTCTAAGGAAAAGTGGCTTACTATAAATCAGGCCCTTGGGAGTGATGTCATTTTGATGCTTCTTACAACTGTAAGGAGACTTATTAAATATTCAATAATTAATAATAACGGCTTCAAGATGGTCTTTCTCACAGAACTGTCCCCGTAAAGGAAGCCCGCAGTATTTAGACTTGGGCCGGACTTCCCGCCCACCAACAAGATCTCAGTGGTACAGGGCGTTTGTCCTCCCCGTACTTACTAGTAAAATGCCCATATTTCTGAGACAGGTATCCTCCAAGAGTGGATCATTAAGCAAATGTTTTTTTGGGTTTTTTTAAGATTTTATTTATTTATTTGACAGAGAGAGACACAGCGAGAGAGGGAACACAAGCAGCGGGAGTGGGAGAGGGAGAAGCGGGCCTCCCACGGAGCAGGGAGCCCGACGCGGGGCTGGATCCCTGGACCCTGGGATCATGACCTGAGCTGAAGGCAGACGCCTGACGACTGAGCCACCCAGGCGCCCCAAATTAAGCAAATGTTTAAACCAGTGGGGGCACCTGGCTGGCTCAGTCAGAAGAACATGTGACTCTTCATCTCAGCATCATGAGTTCAAGCCCCACACTGGGTGTAGCGATTACTAAAAACAATAATAACAGTAATAATAATAATAGTAATAATAAATACAAAATTTATAAAAAGTAAATAAAATAGCCATCAGGGGCAGCCAGCATTCAAAACAGCTCCAATATTTATACCTCCTGGTATTTATACCCTCTTCCCACTTTGTACTAGCATTGGTCTGTGTGACAAATAGAATATGGCAGAATGATGTCACTTCCAAGATTAGATTATACAAGAGTGTAGCTTGAGTCCTGGGATCTCTTGCTCTCTTAGACCACTTGTTTTGGGGGAAGAAAAGCTGCCGCGTCAAGCAGCCCTATGACGAGGAACTAAGGCCTGCCAACAGCCGAGTGAGTGAGCAAATCCTCCCCCAACCCAGCCTTCAGATGACCAAAGCCCTGGTCAACACCTTGACTGCTACCTCAAAAGAGACCTGAGGTCAGAACCACCCAGCTAAGCTGCTCCTAGGTGACACTGTTGACCCCCACACACTGTTTTCAGATGCTAAGTTTTGGAGTAATTTGTTACACAGCAATAGATAATTAATTCACTATCCTGAGAAGGAAATCAGAAGGTTTAACTTGGGTCCCTGTCCTACATGCATGTAGGAACAATACCTCAGTCTAGAAGAAAGCAACAAATTATTCATTCAGTCACTCAACAATTACTTATTGAATGTCAAATATGCACAAGGTATTTCCAAGCAACATAACCCTTCATAACGTTTATTATCTATAAAATAAAGAGAAATAATCACAAACAGCCCCCCCCAACCCACACATGCCTCAAACTGCTCAATCCATTGGTTTCATTAGCTTTTTAAGCCTTTTTGCTCCTCATGCTCTACTCCCCACTCTTGGCTTTCGTAAACTCTTTTAAAAAGGTACATCAAGTTCCCCTCCATAGCTATTTTGAGTGCTCGGTGCACTAATACTCATTTTTATTGTACCACATGCTCTCCCATCTATGGGGGAAAGAATTAGGTCCTCTGATCCCATTTAATATTGGGACTGGGAGGAATTCATTGAGTATTTTACCGGGAAGAGGGAATCCTGATCACAAGTGTTAAGAGCAATTCTAATTTCTGCAATTAAGTGAGTAGGTGGCCACGGCAGCGCTGACAGAATCACAGCTCAAGCTCTGGTCCCAGCTGAAATGGAGGGGTAGGGGGATGCCGCCCCTTACCCTTCGCTGGACTCTGCTCTCTCAAAGCAACACCAGGATTATGCTGCTCTAAGAAAATCAGGAGCCTCCTTCTGCACAAAGAAGGTCAAAGGGCGAGCTTCCTTTCCATCAACCACAAAACGGGCCTCTGCCGAAGCTAACCAGTGTGGAGGGCCGTCAGAGGTGAACCTATACCCCGGAGAGAAAACCACAGCGAGACTCTCCCCTCGCCGCCGGGGTCAGAGTCAGGTGACCCCGCAGGCACACGGCAAACCTAAACAAAGATCACTCCCCACATGACAGAGCGTGGGGAAAATGACTCTGGCAGTAAGACCAAGGCTGCCAGTCCTACCACGGAAAACCATTAACTTGCTCCTTTGCAGTCCCAGGAAAGTGGGGGAGCTACAAGTTACCCGGCAGCTCAGCCTTCGGGGATGCACCTGGAGGAACTTGGGACCCCATCCCAGGACACACGCGCCGAGCACAGCACACCCGCCACCGGCCCCGACACGCGGGCAGGACCCCTCCCCACCAGCTGTCACTGGCGCCCGCCCCCCTCCGGCCGCTCTCCCCGCGGCTACGACCCCGCGGGGGCGGCAGGAACCGACGCTTTTTCGGAAGGCTCTGGGGCCCAGGGCACGCCCGCCCCCGGGCAGGGGCGCCAGGGTGGGCGCGGCCCGGCGCCCGTTGGGAGCTCCGGGTCCACCAACCCCGAAATGCGCCTCCCGGTCCCCAAGCCCCGTGCGCCCCACCTTGTCGCCGAAGCTGCGGGCCATAAGCAGGTCCGGGCTGGGCGTGCTGTCGCCGCCCACGGCCTCCTCGCTGCTGGAGCCGGCCAGCGGGTGCGGCATGTCGAGCAGGGAGTGGGGCCCGGTGGACGGCAGGCCCTTGGGGGGCCCGCCCGACATGGCGCGCACGGCTCGGGACGCGCCGCCGCCGCCGCTTCCTCCTGCGCCCGCCGCGGCTGGCTACCCCAGCGCCCGCGCCCAGGCCCGGCTCGGCCGCGGTCGGTCGGAGGCCCTGCACCAGCCGGGCTGGGAGCCGCCGCCGCCGCCCGCCGGCTCGTCTCTGGCCGCGCGGGGCCGGGCCGGGCTGCGGCTGGGCTGGGCTGGGCTGGGCTGCTCGGCACCGCGCGCCCCCGCTCCGCGCCCGAGCCCGCCGCGGTTCGCTCGCACCTTGGCCGGGGGCGCCCAGCCCGCTCCGCCACACCGCCCAGCCCGCTCGCGGCCCCGCCCCCGCGGCGCCTCGGCCGGCCCTGGAGGGGAAAGGAGGCGGGAGCGGAGGGGAGGAGGCCAGAGGAGGGAAGGGAGGGGGACGAGGAGGCGCGCCCGAAGCCCCGCCCCTGCCCGCCGCCCGCCGCCAGCCGCCCGCTGCCCCGCAGGAAGTGCGCCCTGAGCCCTCGGCCGCTGTCCTCCGCGTGGCCAACCTCGCCTCCGAGAGGCTGCCCTGTGGGGGCTGCGAGCCGTCCCCAGACACATGTTTAACGGAAATCAGCGGTGGAAAAAGACGTTGGAGCATCCTGTTCCATTCCACCCGCGTTTACTGAGGCGTCCGCGGCAGCCACGCGGGGGGCGGGGGGGGGGGGGGTGAGGCCCGCACGTGAGTCGGGATCTTCTGGCCTCGAAGATAACCCAAAATGGAATTACGCCGCGTATTATAAGAATGGCATAAAAGGCTCTGAGGCGCAGAGGAGCTGGAGGACCTGGGGTGGGGAACCCAGAAGGGAATTCAAGGAGGCAGTGGGAGGTTTCTTCCCATGCGCGCCGAGATCCCCCAGGCCATCTTGCTTCTCTGCAGGGAAGCCCACTTTGTGTGAGGCTAAACCTCAGTGAGCATCAGGAAAGAAAGACAGGGAATGCTACGAATGATGTATGATTCAAACTCACACCTTCACCCAACTGCCTTTTGAGAGAACCGTATTTTTCATGCGTTTGTGCTTCCTTTCCAGGCCTGTGGCTGAGCTGAATTCTCATTTTTATTTGTTAGCAGAGTGGAGATAGTCACGGCATTACGTGAGCTCTTTGGGGTGGAAGTTCGCCCCCTTTCCCCACCTTACCTGTCTCCGCAGCTTCTCTCCTTAGGACCGCGTCAGCAGAGGGCGTCAGCCCGCGCAAGAACGGCTGGCTTCTGGCAAAGTCGAGGGTAGGGTGGCTCGCTGTGAGGGTGTACTTTTTCCTGTCGATTTCCAACCTCTTTAGGTTTGTCCGGTTTTACCGGACACATTTTGCAGTTGGAATTCACCGTGTTCTCCGCCACACCTCTTATCGCGAAACAGGTAATACTTCAGCAGGAGGAGAATGCAGAGAGTTGAACCTGACCCAAAATACCGCTCAGAGACTCCCTGAGCTTCAGAGACCTTCCCTTATTTCCCCTGGTGTGATTCGCTGGGCCTTAGCCCTCAGGTTATCTTTTCTCTCGCCCACATGGGTCTGCCTTGGCTGGGGAGAACAGGATTCAGTGGGCACTGGGAACAACTTTAAATGCTGCGTCTGTCTACCTCACAAGAATGCCAATGTCTGGTCCTCCTAGAGGTGGGTAAAATTAATACTTTTATATTCAAGGGCTGCTTACAACTACTACAGACCCTATTAACTGTTCTTATGAGCACCAACATAAATAGCATGGATATAACTAGAAATGAGTGTTCTGTAGATGGATAACATTGGTGTCTCTTCCTGAATAGTGTTATTTATTTTAACAAGCAGGCCACCTTAACATAATAGAGAGCTTACCTTATGAAGACTCCGCTCAGCTTTCTCCTCAGATCCCCAGGGAAGAGTGAAAAGAGAGCCACATTTGGATTCCTGCTTAGTCATTACAAGTGGGTGACCATGAGCAAGTTACCTAACCTTCATGAACCTGTTTCCTATCCTAGAAAGATGGAGGGAGCAGGTAAAAATATTTGCCGTGGTGGTGGTTGTGGAATAGCATATTCGGTATGTAACATTCCTAGCAAAATGCTGGTGTGGAAGTGACATTTCCTAAATGTGAATTCCCTTTCTCTCCCTCAGCTTTTCTCTACTATTGTTACAAAACGATAATCCTAGACTTTTCATAACCGAACATGCTGCCCTCCAAACTCTTCTACTTGCTTAGTTTGGATCAGAGTACCATTTTTCTGTGCTCCTACCAAAAATAAACAACCCCTCCCCCCGAAAACCAGAGTTCCTAAAAGGCCATATGAAAGACTTTATTCATTTATATTTCAGTTTCCTGGTTGGTCAATGGCATCTGGCCACAATGATCCGGTGGGTAGTCATCAAAACTAAAGAAAGTGAACTTCTATGGAAAACATTTTGGTATAAAGTTTCCACCATTCAAATTTAGCCCAGGACTGCCTA